TTTCTCCCCCTCCCTTCCTTTCTCCCTCTTCTTCCTTTCCTTCCTTTCTTCCTTCCTTCCCTCCCTTCTTTTGTTTCTCCCCTTTCGTTCCTTTCTCCCTCTTCTTCCTTTCCTTCCTTTCTTTTCTTTCTTTCTTTCCTTCCTTCGTTCCTTTCTTCCTTCCCTCCCTTTTTCGTTTCTCCCCCTCCCTTCCTTCCTTCCTTTCTTCCTTCCTTCCTCCCTTCCTTTTCCTTCCTTCCTTCCTCCCTCCCTTTCCTTCCTTCCTTCCTTCCTTCCTTCCTTCCTTCGCAGCACCCCAGGGTCAAATGATTCCTCCCCCCCCCCGCCCCTTGCACCCTTCTCACAAGCAAAGCCAGAGGCCAGATGTGCTGGACAGCCCTGCGACTGACTCACTTCACAATCGAGGGAAGTTTTGTGAAATGGAGCGAAACTCGCCCGTCTCCCTCAGCAAACAGATATTTGGGGTTCAGTTCTAGTCATAAGCTGAGGAACCAGAAGCGGCCGAGAAAAGCTCTCCAAGCCCTGGGGGGGGGGGACACTCCCAGCCTCCTGGAAAAGGAGCCCCCCCCCAAACGGCCCTGAATTCTCCTGCGGGTGCCCAGCCGCCAACCCCCCCCCCCGAGTCCTGACGTTGGGAGCTGGCACAGTTTGCCCGGTTAGGCCCCTGGGAAGGGAGCGGGGAGGGGTTGGTACAACTTTGCCAAGTTTATTTACAAACACTGCAGGTGGGGGGCACAAGTGTTGGGGGGCAGGGCATGGACCCCCCCCCATCTTGGACTGAATTCCAGCATCTGTGTGGGAAAGAAGCGACGTGGGAGGGGTGAGGGGGGGGCAAAAGCCTCTCCCCCCTCGTGTGCTCCAGCCACACTCAGGGCCTGCGTTCTCCAGATCAGGGGTCTCCAACCACGGCCCCTTTTAAGACGTCTGGACTTCAACTCCCAGAATTCCTCCACCAGCAAAGCTGCAAAGCTGAGGAATTCTGGGAGTTGAAGTCCACACATCTTCAGGGGGCCAAGGTTGGAGACCCCTGCTCCAGATGGCAGACCCCAGTCCTTGGGGTGGGGGTGGTGAAGCTTCTGACAAGACAACGATGCAAGGGGTTGGAGTCACCACCTGCGCCCCCCCGCCCCCGCCCCCAGGGGGGGCTGCTGGGGGGGGGGGCCTTCAGCCCCACGTCCTTCTCCGCCAGCAGCGTGGGAGAATCCCGCCTGCAGCTTCCCACAACTTCTTGGGACGTGCCTTTGGTGGAGTGGAAAAAGGTCAGGGGTCCACGCGGGCACCGTCCACCCACACCCCCCATATCCGCTCCAAGAGGCCGCCCCCTTGGCCCAGTCGAAGCATCCGGAAGGAAGCCCCAGCATCCCCTGCCGGAGACTCCAGAGTCCATCATCCTGCTGCAAGAAGCAAAGCAGCCCTGCTTGTCCGCCTCCGTCTGACTTTTGGGCTGTGTGCGCTGATTGCTGCTGGTCCTTCTGCTCGCCACCATCCTTCGGTTCGAGGGTTCCCCGCATTCCTGCTACGCCCCCCCCCCAAAAAAAACAGGGAGACGAAGCACCGCCTTCCCCCCCCTCCGTGGCAACTCTCGGCGTCCGCCGTAAGAAGCTCTCCTTGGGGCAGCCACCGGAGCGTGGGCCCCGGGACCCTCAGGGTGGACCCCCATCCGCCGGCTACTTCTTCCCCACGGGGGGGCCCTCTTCCGAGGGGAGGGGCTCAGGCTCCCAGAGCAGGAACTCGTGCAGGAGGGTGTTGACCGTCTCCGGACATTCCAGCATCACCATGTGGCTGCCCTCGTCGATCACCTTCAGGAAGGCCAGCAACAGGATCTGGGGTCAAGAAGGACGGGGGGGGTGTGTCAGTCGGGTGGCCTTGCCCTGGATGGCCTGCAGGGTGGGGTGGGGGGTCTTCGGGGGTCTTCGGGGGCAATCCAGCTGCTCTCTAGGGGCACTTTGCATCTGTTGTGGTTCACCGCCAGCCTGCGCAGCGGGCGGCGGAATCAGAAAAACGGGGACCAGTCTGGGGAGGACTCGGACGAGGGTCCTGGGTCCAATGCAGAGGTGGCCCCTGGGCCATCTGGGAGTGGGCTGCTGCCTCTGGAGCCTCCGGACTCCGGCAGCAGCGAGGCAGAGGAACAGCGGGAGCCTGGTTCCAGTGCGCATGTGCGCAGTTGCTAGAAGGCAAGAGCAGATGAGACAAAAGGGGCAACTCGGGAGTAAGACTGAGAGGTGACTGCCCTTCCCATAAGGGATAAAGGAAGTGCAAAGGTAGGAAAACCTTTGCAGGAAGCAACGTCATTTGCTCTGAGCTGTTTGGACTCTAAAAGCTCTGCGTTCAATTGGTTCTCCGTTTCGGCTTTGGAAAGACTAATTGGGACTTTAGTCACCGACAGCCCTTCGAGTCAGATAAAGGTGCGTTCTTCTCGGACTTCTTCCGAGGAACTTTGGCCGGTGTTCCTGGGACTAATTATCACCGGTTAAGACGCACGCCGGGATGTGAATGACGATAATTCACAGCGGTTGAACTAAAATAAAAGGCTTTGGGATTTGATGTGTGTTTGTGGGCGTCTCAGGAAGGCTGGTCAGTCTCCCTTTAACTGCAGAGGATAAATATCTACGGGTCCCTGTGTGTGTTAGTGTGTGTTTTTCACTTGCACCTTTGTGGGAAGTCAAAAGCACTGCTCCAGAGGTGGGGATCACTTGGTTCTGACCAGTAAGTAAGTTTTGAGTAGTTCGGAGAACCGGCCAGCCCCATTTCTTCCCTGCCTCCCATCGAGTCCCCGCTGATCGGCTGGGTCTTCCTTGGTTGCCCCTGCACGGGAGAACGGAGCTGGAAAGCAGGCTAGTGGGGAAGGAAGGGGGGATTTTGCAGTCACCTTCCCCTGCCACGCCCACCAAGCCACGCCCACAGGACTGCTAGTAAAATTGGTTGAATCCGGCCACTGCACGGCTGACCCCCAAAGAGAGGCAGCTGGTACCCCACTTCCTGAGGCTGGCATGGGTCACTCTACAGCCTTGAACCCATGCAGCTTTTCTGACCCACAACCTGGAAATGCTGGCCAGCTGAGCCCCCCCCCCACCGTGTGACTTGAATTAAATTTTAACTGGGGGGGGGGGGGGAGAGTGGGGAGGGCTGATGTGTGCTTCCCACAGGGATTGTGCAAACTGGTCAAACTTCGCCTCCACCGAAATGGCACTCAGCGCCCCCCCCCTCCCCGGGGCCTTCCCATATCTGGGCAAATGTGGGTGCAATCAAGTGACCATCACCTCCCGCTTCCCTGCAAGCCCCTCCCTCTCTCATAGGCCCCTCCCTCCCTGCTTTTCATCCAGCCAATCTTGCGGCAGCTGGACACATCTGGGTCAACTCTGGCCTGACTGGGGCCATTGGGAGGCTTCCGTGTTGGCACAAGGGAGGCGGGGAATAGCGAGAGCTGGGAATTTGTAGCCGAAACAAAAGAGTTTCTCACGGGAACCAAGGACACTCCCACAGGCAGCTGAAGAGAGGAGGAGTGATGTTACCAAGCAACCGGACAGCAGCCTGATTGGACCGTGTGACTGTTCGTTTGGGAAAAGGGGAAAACTTCTACTTTTAATTAGGTGGAAACAGCGGGAACTTTCAGAGCTGGTTTCTACCAGACCTGTGCCAATATGATAGATCCAATAAACCTGCTCTTTGCGGACTCGGCCTGCCTCGGAGTTCTGTCTGCTCTGTTCTGTTCTGTCTGGAATTCATCTTTATGTTCTGTTTGGAGTTCTGTCTACTATGGACGTATTGCTTGGAGCCCCACAATATCCTGCTTGAAGGGCCCGCTGGCCCCTCTTCGGGGGCATCCCAGCTGAGCAGCCCCCCCAGGGCACCCAAGGGGACCCCCCCATTGATAAAGCTCGGGTTTTACTCAAGGGGGAAGCCATCAGGGGCTCCCTGGGGGCTAAGGCGGGGGGGGGAGTTTGGCGGGGCAGGGGATGCCCCTCCGCAGCCTTACCTCCGCCATGCGCTGGTCCTCCTCCACGGGCACAAACTTGTCGTGCATGCCATGCACCAGCAAGACGGGCACGGTCAGCTCGGCGTGGTAGACCTCGTCCCCCTCCGGCCAGTACTGACCGCTCATCATGGCCCGCAGGACAAAGGAGGAGACGTTGAAGGCGTTGCCCTCTTTGAGCAGCTGCTTCTCCTTGGCACCCTGGCGGGCAAAGCCGGCTCTGGCGGGGAGAAGGGCACGGGGTCAGCACAGAGGGGGGGGGGGGGGGGGGAAGCGGTGGGCAAAGACCCCGCCATTTGGGGGCCGGGCCAAGGAAGAAGCGGGATCTCAGCCTCCCCCGGGAGGAGACGGAGGGCTCAAGGCAGTCTGAGCCCCCCAAACGGACGGGCAGGGTCCGGAAGGGGGGTGTAAAGACCCCGGGGGAGCCACGCGTGGACCCTGGGGAGACCTGGCTGCCCCTCCCAGAGGCTCACTTGAGGAAGGGCCAGGCCAGGCACGAGGAGGGGGTGCCGGGGAAGGAGAGCTGGGGCCCCCACCCTCTTCAGGGCGGCCCAGTGGTGCCAGGGGAGAGGTCTGCCCGTTTGTGCCCCCTCCCCACCCCGGCCCAGGGGGCTCACTTGAGGAAGGTCCAGGCCAGGCAGGGCGAGAGGCAGCGCAGGACACAGGGGGGCATGTTGAAGACGGAGCAGAGGCTGGGCTCCAGGGCGGTGGGGCCTCCTCCGTTGACCATCACCACTTTGTGCACCAGGTCCGGGTATTCGTGGGCCAGGAAGGTGCAGAAGGAGACCCTGAGGCGGAGGAGAGGCCGGGCGGGCTGTGAGACGCGGCCGAGGGGGCCCCTCCCTCCCGCTCTCTCCCCCTGCCCCGCAGGGGACGTGGAGCCTCCATGTTCGGGGGCCCTCTACGCAGGCAGTCCTCGACTCGCAGCAGCTCGTTTAGTGACCGTTTGAAACCACCACGGGACAGAAGAACAAAAGGGGCCTTTGCACACGACCGCGTCCCCCAGGACCACGTGATTAAAACGGGGGTGCCGTCCCAGGGTCTGGGGGGGAGGGTCACGGGACTCCCTTTTGCGACCGTCGGATGAGCGAAATCCATGTGGGAAGCCGGGTTCGCTTAACAACTCCTGTGATTTGCTGAACTTCACGCCCTTCCTCGCCTTGCTTGGCGGTGTCAATTCTGCTCCCGGTTCTGGTTGTAAGTTGAGGAGACCCCCCCACAGGAGAGAGACCCCCCGTATCCCCTCGGGAGCCCCCTTACCCGTAGGAGTGGCCGATGAGGACGTTGCGCTTCTTGGCATAGCGCTTGAAGAGGCTGCGCAGGTCCTCGGCCAGCGCGTAGAAGGTGTAGGCGGCAGCGATTTGGGGCGCCGAGCTGGCCCCGTGGCCGGCCAGGTCGGGCGCCACCACCTCGTAGCCCAGCCTGGCGAAGAAGTCCAGCTGCTCCTTCCAGATGTCCGAGGAGCCGCCCACGCCGTGGATGAAGAAGAGCACCACGTCCCGGTGTGACCCTTGGCAGCTGCCGATACGCTGCGTGCAATCCACGTGCACCACCCGCTTGGGCTTCGGCCGGCGGCGTTTGAGCGACGGGGCCCCGCCGGCCGTGGGGGTCCCGGCTGCCGCCGCACTGGCCTCCGAGGCCTCCGCCCCCGGGGCCTCGGCCAGGTTCTCGATGACCACCTGGCCGGTGCGGTAGACGGCGATGCGGCGCTTGCAGCGCACGGCGCCCATCCTTGGGGGTTCCTCCTCGGGGGCGCTGGGGGGCCGGGCGGGGGCGACGTGCTTCACCCGCAGGACCCGGCCGGGCTTGACCTCCACGAAGCTGTAGCCGTCGCTGGACTCGACGGGCTCCAGGGGCCCCACCACGTTCGGGGCCTTGCCCAGCAGGCAGCAGAGGAGCCCGTCGGCCAGGCTGGTCAGCATGGCGGGGGCCCTGCGGAAAGAAGGGTGGGGGGGTCGTTAGGGCCGGCAGCGGGACGTCCCCAAGGAGACCCCCTGGACCCAGGGCAGAAGGGGGGGTATTTGGATCTGCTGAGGGTGGAACTGGGGGGTCCTGGGTGCCCCCTCGGCTGGGTTTCTTTCTTGCAGATGTTTCACGACCCAACTAGGTAACATCTTCAGTGCTAGGAGGGAGTGGGGTTGCGGAGAGGAGGAGGAGGAGGAGGAGAGGAAGGAAGGAAGTGGGGGGAGACACAAAGAGGAGGGGGAGGAGGACGGTGGGGTCTTTATGGATCTCTGAGCTGGTGGTTTTCTTGCAGACGTTTCATGACCCAACTAGGTGACATCATCAGTGCTAGGAGGGAGTGGGGTTACAAAAAAACCCCACCAGTCCCTACCAGCATGGATGATGCAACCTAGTTGGGTCATGAAACGTCTTCAAGAAAACCACCAGCTCAGAGAGCCCCGAGGGCCCCTCGGGTGTCCTCCCCCTCCTCCTTCCCCTCCCCCAACCTTTCTAGCACTGATGATGTAACCCAGTTGGGTCAAGCGGATGTAAGTCTCTTTTTTCAACGAGGGTTTAACTCGCTGAATGTGATGGATGTAAGTTGAGGATGACCTGTCCGTGCAAAATGGCCAGGGAGGGAGGGAGGGAGGGAGATAAAAGAGAGACCCTCCCCCCCCCGTTCTTCACAGCCAGAGGCCTCAAGGACTGTTGGGTCCCCAAGGTGGCTCTCTGGGCTGCAGGCGCCCACCCGAAAAACGGCGATGGTGCCTCTGGGCACGTGCAGATCTCTTTCTCTCTCTCTCTCTGTCCTCCATTCTCTTTCTGACTCTTTCTTTCTCTTTTTCTCCTCTCTCCATTCTCTCTCTCTTTCCCTCACTCTTTCCCTTTCTCTTTCTGACTCTCTTACTTTCTCTCTCTCTCTCTCTCTCTCCCTTTCTGACACTTTCTATCACTCCCTCTGTCTCTCTCTCCATTCTCTCTCTCTCTCTCTTTCTGACTTTCCTACTTTTTCTCTCTCTCTCCCTCCCCCTTTCTGACACTTTCTATCACTCTCTCTCTCTCCATTCTCTCTCTCTCTCTGACTCTCTTACTTTCTCTCTCTCTCTCCCTCTCCCTTTCTGACACTTTCTATCACTCTCTCTCTCCATTCTCTCTCTCTTTCTGACTCTTTTCTCTCTCTCTCCATTCTCTCCATTCTCTCTCTCTTTCTGACTCTCTTACTTTCTC